TAGTAATCTCATCATGCAGGATTTGCCTAATCCTGGCATCCAACTCATCTGGTCTCATCTGACCAATGGTCTCGGGCATTTTTGGTCCACCCTGGTTGCCATCTCCTGATCCCGACCCGAATCCGATCACAAATCGCCTTGTAACCACTATGCTGAAAATATACCAGGAAGATATCAGACATCCCATATAATAACGGGGAACCAACTCCCAACAAAGCCCTAGGGGATGTGACTTCCTCGCTACATGCATGGGTCATGTGATTTCAGTAGTAAAATCTCATACTACCTTCAACACCTACCCATATTTGTCTCAAGGATCATGATAACGCCTAACAATATACATAAGCATAGGCGAGTGCTCAATCCTCACTCCTAGAGAAAGGCTAAACATCTCACAACTGGCTGACTGACCCCACACAACTTATCCATGAAACTCCCACTAACCCTACAACACTAGTGTATGCTAGCCATACATAACCCTGGACCATATACACTTTTGAATATTCTATCCTACCTTAAGCCCTTCATCAGATAAGAACAGGAAATAAGGTTAAACCAAACATTCTTAGGCTATAAGATCTTAGTTATATACAATCGTGATGCATACACTAAACAACTATAATAATTATTTCAATTTCATATAAGGAAAACCCTAGGCTATCATGCATCAAATAATCAGGAAATTCTACCACGCAATTCCTGAAGATCCCTAGCCTATCACTAGCATGTTGTTCTAACATATCACAATATCAATTAACGGTATGGTATTTTGGAGTCTACTTACTGGCTCCGGCTGATTGTACACATCGCATCCTCCTTTAGTATTTTGAAAACCATTTGAAAATATTTTCCTAAGTTTGAGACTGGATTCACACGAGTGTTCCTCCAATTCATTCAAACCAAGGCTCTGATACCAATTTGTAACATCCATAAAATTCATAAAAATTTAAAACTTTTTTAAACATCCAAAAGCCATTAGTTATTACAAAATGTTTTCAAAATAGTTTCATATAAGAGAATCCCAAAAATCAAAATCATAAAATGTGAGGAGGTGCACGATCAAGCCTTCGCCTTCCCATGATCATCCAAAGTACCTGAAACAAAATCCAAAACTGTAAGCCCAAAGCTTAGTGAGTTCCTCCAAAATACCAAAACTGGACCGCCCTCGCCGAGCCTTCAGTCTATCTGGCCCACTCTCAGAACCTTCAGCATGTTTGGTCCCCACTATCGGGCCTTCAGCCTGTCTGTATCGTTCTCCAGGCCATTGGCCTGACTGGTACGCCCCGATAGGCCTTCACTCTATCTGGGACGCCCTGGGTCTGTTGGCATAGAGCACAAAGCAAGACCACCTCAACCCACCCGCAATCACACAATCAACACATAAATATCATACGCTATCTAGCATGCACAAAAGTCATACAGATCTACAGATAAATAATCATAGCATCATCTTATATACCAGGATACGATCTAGCAGATCACTAAACATAACATCCTCCTATATAAAAGGATACCAATCTAACAGATCACTAAACGTAGTATCATCCTATAACTAGAATACAATCTAAAAAGGGTAGGCATTGGTGCCTTCGACCCTGATAGTATATAGAGGAAGACTCACCTCACAAGTAGTGATGAATCGATAAAGTTGAATCCCAACTCACAGCTCCAAACTCAACTGCTTGTAACCACTATATGACTAATTCCATTAAAATCCCAAATTACCAAAATACCCTTAGAAGTTAACCTGGTCAACCATGGTCAATGCCAAAGTCAACAGTCAAGGTCAACAGTCCATGTTGACCCAACTCGTTGAGTGCATCTACTAACTCGTCGAGTTTCTTCATATGTCAATAGATCGTAAAAAGCTCGAGACAACTCGTCGAGTTACCAGAGTAACTCGTCGAGTTCTTCAGTGTTCAGAACCAAGGAAAAACTCAACCAACTCATCGAGTTATCTTATCAACTCGCCGAGTTGGCTAAACAACTCATCGAGTTTTCCTGTCTTAACGTATTCAACCCTTTCCAATCGAATCCAATGCCCCAAACTACATATCTAGCCCCTTAGGACTGAGATACCACATAAAGTTGCTAAATTTATGTGCATGCAAGGCATCAAAGGTATTAAAACACTCCCATGAAGCTTATTATGGGTTTTAGAGCATGAAGGAGGGCCAAGACTTAATAAAGTTGGCAACTTTAAGTCCAAGGAGGCCCTAAGATGCTCAGATCTTACGTCCTAGCTTCAAATCATGCTTAAGACTAAGAATGACTCAAGAATAAGCTAGAAATGACCATGAACTCTCTAATGAAGAGATCTAACAAAGGAGTGATCAAGATGGCAACTTTTTTTCTCCAAATGGTTGCAAAAACAGTGAAGCTACCGGATCTAACGCCTTCTATGCAATCCAACCTCTTCAAGCTTCTAGTTTCCTCCAAAAAAAACACAATATTTAATCTCCAAAGCTCACACACACACGCAAGACAGCAAGAAAGCACATCTAGGGTTTTTCTTTGGACAATAAGATGGTAAGGGAGGTCAGTGAGGGAGCTTAAGGTCCTTTAAATAGGGTGCAAACCTTAAAAATTAAGGTTTTCATGCACAGCCTCAACTCGTTGAGTAAGTTCCATAATCCACATGGCCTTATTAGTTTCTACACGATGAGTTGGGGCCTCCAACTCGTCGAGTAGGTCTTATGTGATGAACAAAAATCCTTAAAATTTCATACCTAGGAGTCAGGATGTTACATTAGAATAGAAGTTGTGCATATTTTTAGGAACAAACCTAACCTAGGCATGGTTGAGTTCAGATGTTACCTCTTCATTGATTATAGGGTGATGGTCGTGAATTGTTGGAGGGTCTAATCCTCATAATGAATATAAGACACCTTCATGTAGTCTGGCTAATTTCATTGCCTGACATAAGGTTTTGGTATCCTATAACTAGACTGTATGCATAATCTTATTTGAGAGTCCTCTGATGTACAGATCAAGTAGCATATCTGTTGGAACACTGATTTGATTACGAAGGACATTAAATTGGAAATTGTAATCGCTTACGGTAGAAGATTATTTTAGATTTCGGAGTTCAATCAAAGGTTTAGACGCATTCCTTCAACAAATTATTCCTTAAGCTCCTGTAAATGTCTTCTATGACACTTGATTGCCTTTCATCTCCTTCGTAAATCCTTGGTGTCATTGGAGTGCCTGGCCCTTTAAATGAATTACTACCAAACGATCTTTCATTTCCTCTAGAGTGTTGTCTAATTCGAAAAACTGGTTACACTTATAGTGCCAATCTTTAAAGTCATCACCATCAAACGATGGGAATTCTAATTTAGTCATCCTATTCACCAATTGATACCCCTTCGTGCCATGACTTGTAGATGTTTCTCGTGCCTCTTCGTCACCAGAATATGCCTTATGGCTCAAACCCATCTCCATCCAAGAAATTTGACTCCCTTTTTCCTATGTGCTATGACCAGAACTTTAACAGTGGCTGGCTGTTAATTCAACAGGACTCACCTGAATCGTCTGCAAGGTTTCATCTTGACTCTCAATGTTACGACTGACCTCTTCATACTTCTCCATTATTTGCGCGTTCGTGACCTTCACCATACACCATAGTTATAGGAAGGAGAGCTCTGATACCAATGTTAAGCTTAACAATGGAATTAAGGCTTCAATAAGAATTACAACAGGGCAACCTTGATGCAATAGTAGAAGTTCATAAAATTCTTGATAACTCTTACATCATGATAACATCTATACCAGGAAAGAGATGCAATAGTAGAGTCAATGCTTGGAATCCGATTGTTATAAAGATTTTTATTAAAATTCTCAAAATGGAAGGTCAATTCTCATTGTCAACCTGAAGAAAAAGTACCCTTATAAAATCTATATTTGGTACACCTATTTTTCATTGTTTAAAGCCCTAAAAAGTCCAATGTGAAAGTATAAGGAAGGATTTCTTTTGGTGTCCATATAATGAAAAAAAAAAAAAAAAAAAAACACCTTAATTGGATTAAATGGAATCTAGCTCTTGCAAGAAAAACAAAAAGGTGATTGGGATTGGGTAAGAAATGGTAGCGATAAAAAAAATTTGGGCCGGTAAATGGATCTAAAAACAGTAAATGAATCCAAAAGCATCAACGTGAAGGATGTTTTCCCAAGACTTTTGTGTTAGAATCAACTGAAAGTTGCAATATTAGCGGTTGTGTACGCAAATGATGTTGATGCAAGGTATTCTTGGAAGTGACATAGGAATGTGAGAATGGGGCCAAAAACAACTGAGTTGCAACAACTACTACACGTTTTGGAAGTCGTTATTTTTTCAAATCAGTTGGATCGTTGGGTTTGAACTTTGGATGGATGTAGAGTTTTTACTGTTAAGTCAACTATCTGCCTTAGTTATGACACAATTTTGGACAGACGGATTGTCCTACTTATTGGAATTCTTGGTTACTAGTAAAAAAAGCATATTTAGATGGAGAGTGAACCTAAATGCGTTGTTAACTATGGAAGGACTAGATAAAATGGGGATTGAAATCCCCTCAATTATGTGTCCGATATGTAGCATTGTCCAAAAAAAACTCGACTGTTTACCCTGTGCCTTACATTTTTGGGTCAGATTTTGTGGTGCTTAGAGAATATCTCAATGGAAATTTGATGTCTAAGAAGGCGTTGGTATCTCTTACAGTTTGGCGATTCATAAATTTAATCACTTTTCAAGCGAATAATCCCAGAAAATGAGAGATTTTTAATATGCGCTGATGAATTTTTTCAATATTATTGTAAATAGTCATTTAAATGTTTCTTGGACGTTGTGTATTAAAACTTATAAGTCCACTCATGACTATTATTTCCATGTAATAAGTCAACTCATGACTTATTTAGAGTGGGTAGTTTTTATGAATTGAATAGTTGCTCAAAAAATATTCAAGGTCATCTAATTCACCACTATATATTTTGGAGTCCTCCTTTCTAATTAAGTCAGCTTTTGGAGAAAAGAAAAACTAAAAATGCAAATATCTAACATATCAATCATACAAAATACACATTACGGGATGTCACAACAGTGTTAGTGAACCATCCATAATATGGCTATGGTTACAGTTGAATTTTATACCTTTGCAACCACATTTTCTAATTTTGTAGAAAGGATTAATGGACATGGTGAGTGTGTAGATCCAAGAAGCATAATCCCAAAGCTTATGCGAGAGGCAAAGAGACCATTGTTATAAATGCCATTTACATATACTTGATACTTATAAGTTATAATATAGTTTATATAACTAGAAATCCTATGAGCTTTCGTCAGCCAGAGTAAGGCAACCTGCATCACAACAAAGATGATTGAGTTTTGTAAATAATAAGTACATAAAATATGATTAACAAATTTTATGGAAATATATATTGTACTAACCCTAACTTGAGGGAAGTACCAGAGCTCTCATAATCTTGTGGAGGACCAGTAGTGTTGCTGATATTAGTCGATTCTGATGAGTCCCCATCATCACCAGAACAACCAGCAGTTAGCTTCCAAGCATTAGATATCTTCAAAAGCTTCGTTTCCACCATTCAAATGTAAGTTAGAATAAAATATGTGCACCACAAAGCAATAAATTCAAAGAAAACCAATCCAACTTTAGCAACCATACAAAAAGACCAAACTTTCGTATGTTAAGAATGTGATTCATTTCATTTTTGAAGGGGGGATGGGTTGCTAATTAAATTAAAGTTTGATGGTTTTCTTTGAAGGAAAGAAGTGTTTGAAAAGCTTGATTCATACTTCTTGTCTTAGTTTGTTGTTCTCCTCCATGAGTTTCACTTCCTGCATGCAAGTTTTAATTAAATGACTTTAAGCAACGTGAAATTGTAATCATAAAGTTTGAGTTGTGAGTTCTGACCTTCTCTTGAAGATGATTAATCTCATTCATAATTACCTCACCCTGGAATAATAAAACCAGAAATAAGCATGCACACCCGGAGGCTCGTTGCAATGGTAAATCTTTTGTAAATTTCTTGGGTTAATCTAGTTAAAGAAAAAATTCTCTACCTTTCTTTAGATAAAAGATGTCTTTTCATGCATTAGCAAAACGAAAGATGTGCTATACATTGTATTATTAAAAATTTAGTGAGACTAACGTGGTGTTTTTTTTTTTTTTTTTGAAAAAGATCTTTTTCATGTCTAAACATATGTGAAAAAGATTGTTTGTTTTTTAGTAGACAAAAAACATAAAAACACATGTTCTGCTAGATGCAAAAAATAACGTCTAAAGTTGAAATACATTTCTAACCTTTCGTTTTTAAAGTTCGTCCTCTTTTTCAATTTGTTTTTTCCTTGTTTTGTTTTCAATTTTTTTGTGTGTATTTATTTAATTTGTTCTTTTTTCTTGTTTTGTTTTGGATTGTTTCTTGACCTTGGTTGATTTTATTTTGAATTTAAACATGGTTCTTATTGGTTTTTGGAACATGATGGTTTTCAAAGATGATAATGGTGGTGGTGGTGAAGACTCCAGTATGGTTGCTCGCAGGTGATATGATTTCATTTATTTTTATTTTATTAGATGATAAAAAAATAAAATTTAGCCTGCAAATTTAAAAAAAACAAACAGTCTTCTTACTGCAGACTTCTGTTCCACATCTTTTTCTGAAGACATGGTAAAAGATTGCAGACATTTTACCTCTTAAAAAACAAGCATCACCGCCTATATTCTCTTGAAAGTTGTACTATTTGATTAGATACATTGCTTGCTTGATTATTGGTCAAATGTAATATGTCGTTTAAGAAACAATGAGAAAATAGATAACTTTAACTTGGGAAGCTTTAAAAGCCCATAAACGTTGCAATTTTATGATATAAAGAAGAGCAATAACTAACACAAAGCAAATGCACCTTTTTGGCTACAACACGGCTCAATCCAGCTTCAAGTGATTTCTCAAGCTGGTGCAGCTCTTCGATACTTAAACCCTGAAGCTCCTCCCCTCTCAACTGCCTGTTTCACACAAAAAGAATCACCCGAGATCCAGAAGTTACATGCATGCATGCATATGTATGAATACGTATATATGCACATCATGCATATGTATATACAAAAACCAAAATATGCTCTTATACTTACACATTGCGTACACACATGTATATACATATAGCTATATGCCTATATCAACATACGCATATGCATGTATGTCTATTGTAATGTACCTTAACTGAAGGGTTCTCTCGGCAACTTCTTTGCTTAAGTTGGCATAGTTGGTGTCTTCAACCAGCTGCAAAGAAAGATATTAAAAACCAAACCACAATTATGATAATGTGAGGTAAAATCAAGTTAGATTCTAGAATGAGGACTTGCTAAACGTGATAAAAAGAGAAGCGATGTGAATATAGCAAAATGAAGGTGGGTGACACAAGCTAGAGATCTTAGTATAGCAAGACTCCTCAGCTTAGGGTTTTTGAAGGAAAGTCTATGTATATACCCTTTCACTTATATTTTTGAAAGGGACCTTAATTTCCATGGTTCAACTCGGCTCCAAAGACTTGAAAAGAAACACAAGAATGGTGAAATAACTATTGAGGACAGAGAGAAATTAATTACCTGCAACTCAAGGGATGGTTGGTTTAACTTCTCAAGATTTTTTGAGTGCAAGCTACGCCTTTCAATTACTTCATCCATGCTGCTAGAGAGACGAGAAAGACAAATGTATTAAATAAAAAAAAATAAAAAAATAAAAAAAAACAAGGTAATGTTGTGAGTTGTGATATGGTCAAAGACATCGTCTGGATGTAGTTAACCTAGCTATGATGCTTCATTTTCAATAGTAAAGCTTCTATTGGTTAATATTGTATACCCTAGATGTTTTGTTAGGTCCAGTATGCAAGTGTTTCTGTTGCTGGAGTAGTTATGAAGATTGAAATTCTAGTCTTGTGGGTGTTTCTAATTTCTATGGTTATAAGTTGCAGCATTCTTTAGCGTCTTATTTGCATCCTCTTCATTTCCATGAAAACTACATCATCGCTATTTTCATTGTTTTTAAGTTTTCTAGATTAAAATTACTTGCTTACCTATGGTTTGAAACCACAAGATTCTTCTAGTGTTTCTTTACCCAAGGATGCTCAAGTACTTTACAAATACCACACACTTTCTTAAACCATGTGTAAAGTAGATATTGTTATTTTTAAGAACTTTGTACTCGTGTGGTTAATATATTAAAATAAATATATGCAAAAGATTTGATGATCCAAACAAAACCCATAAACGCTTGAGTGAAACATTAATAAACTACCTACAAAATTCCCTAACACAAAGAACAACACTAAATAAGAATTCTTAGGGTACACATATGTCATAACAAAATCAATACGTTTTAGAAACTTGATATTACTGCAACCTAACAAAAAGGGTGAGTATACGCAACATGTGACCATGTGACTGGAGTTTGTTTCTTCTGTGTCTTTGCCTAAACTCTAACTATATTAGACCTCTAATCAGAATCCCAATAAAGAAATAAAAACACATATACAAATCAGACAATCAAATATAGAACACTAATTGCAGGAACTCGTTACAAACCCTACGATCCAAAAAGAAGCAAATATGAGAAGAATCATGAAAACATTCACATACATATATCCATAAAACCACACTCTGACACACGTAAAAATACACACACATAACCCTAGGTACCTTGAGCTTGAATATTGAAAGAGCTTATCATTAGAGGAGAAGAGGATGACAGCAACATCAGCATCACAAAGTACAGAAAGCTCTTCAGCTTTCTTGAATAACCCTCTTCTCCTCTTGGAGAAAGTTACCCTTCTTGCTGTAGCATTGTCAATTTTTTTGATCTGTACTTTTTCCCTAGCCATCATACTTCCAGTCCAGGAAATACTACTTTTGGAAATATTTCATCCAAATCCCAGTGGAAGTTGTGAAAAAACCAGGAATAACCCAGAGTTCAAATCAAGGGTTTTCTATGAATGGAAACAATTAATTTTGTGAGATGCAAAAGAAGAAAAGAACCAAAAAGACAGCATTTTTCTTTGCCAAAATTGGGTGTACAGATCAGATGTCAAACTAGCTAGTAACCCTAGAGAGAATCAATACCAGACACGAACACCCGTTTACCCGATTCCCTCTTTTATCCAGATCCAGATGGTGGTGGTGATGATCGGTAATTAAAGGTGCTGATATTTTTCAAGAAACTTAAGAAATTAGAAAGCAAATGAAAACCCCATGAAGAACATATAGAGCATTTTCATATCGAACAAGAGTTTTGAAGGAGATTTAATTGATGTCAGGGATGAAGGGTGAATTGGGGGAAGTGGTCTGGTTCTTGGGGGCTTGAGGAGAGGACTGTTGTGTAAAAGGAAACCGACGAGACAGAAAGAGTGTTGTTTCTACTATTTTCCGTTGTGTAATTTTTTTATGATTGAATAATTAAGAAGCGCAAGGGTTGAGAAGAAAGTCATATATTATTTGTTTTTTCTTATTTGACATTGTTTTATTATGTTTTTAAAGGGATTTTGGGATTATTTTTAAACCAATCAAATATTATTTTTATAACTTTTCTTTTTCAAGTCGGAAACAATTTTATCAAAAGAATTTCAATGTTGCCATTTTGTGAAACCTTTTGATTATTATTTTAATTGACTTATTTATCAATGAATTTTTTTTATCATTATTTTTACAAATATATTTTGTCACATGTCATTATAATGACATAAGATTTTATAATTATTTAAATTCTGCATGTCATTATGTGGTATCTTTATTTTTTTTATTAATCAATAATCAATTTTACTAATTAATGAGTCTATTATTATATATCTACAATATTCATTATATTTAAATGTTTATTAATTTATAAATATATTTGAATTTAAATGGATGTATTCATTCTATTTAAATGTTTATTAATTTATAAATATATTTGAATTTAAATGGATGCTTTAATGACACAATTAATGTTATATATTTGATGATATATTTGAATTCAAAACATATCTTCAATTTTTTGGACTTTTAGTTTGAATTCTAACAAATTTATTATTTATTCAAATTTTGTAAAGAAATATGTGTGTATAATACATTTCTATTTCTACCTTAATAAATGAAAGAAAAACAGAATCTTCAAAGAAGTATTTAAAAATTTTGATTAATAACAACTATTTACAACATGTCAATATTTTTTTTATTATTATAGATTCAATAACTATTTATTCATCATTCCGTTTGTATTTATTTTGAAAGTTAATATTAAAAATATTTAATGTTTACACCTTAATTTTCAACATCATTATTTAAAATATGGCAATAGGTTTTATCGGTATAGATTAAATTACTTATTTATTCATTATATCGTTCGCATTTATGTAAAAGTATTTTTTAAATATTTAATATTTATATATTGATATTAAACTTTTATGTTTAATAAACTCGTATAGTACACGGGTCTCACACGTAGTATAACTAAGAAAATAATCAACAAATTCTTATTATGTACTTGCCAATCATTCACCGAACTCCTACATTTATCGTTTATTATATGTGGTTCATTGTTTTAATTGCATACTACAAAATGCAATATCGAAATTTAAAGAATCAAATATGAAATTCAAAGGCCCAATCTAAAACATAATATTGTACCTATTTACCAGTGAAAAGATATAATTCCTAAAGATGGGCATGAATTAATCCTTGAAAAGATTGTTATTTTTGTATTAGTTTTTTTGTTTAATGTATAGGGTTAGTGGTAAATTAGTTCCATGTTAGCAAATGTATTTATTATATCTTATGTTGTATTGTTTTATATAACCGGATCATTTGTCATTATCTTGATGTAATTTTGTATATATACATCTTATGAATAAAGATCACTTTTATGGGAAAATACAAACAATTGCATGGTATAAGAGCTTATCCATCTCCCTATTATATTGCATCGACTAAAACCCTAGCTGACAGATTCCTTCCTGCCAGCCACTCTCTCGTTTCTCTTTCTTCATTACTCATATGATCTTCCATTCTTTTTTCGATCTCTCTAGAAACAATATCTCAGATAAAATCTCTCCCATTATCAACATCAAACACGCAGTACCTTTAGTTCTTGATTTAGATGGGATAAACTATGATACTTGGCGAGAACTTTTCGAAATCCCTTGTATAGGATATATATAGTAGATGATCACCTTCGTCCAACAATAAAACTCGTTACACTACCGGTGACAAGGAGAAGAACAAGGTAACAACAAAATCGATTGTTTTCAAAGATGCTTGGATTCGCAAGGACTCAATTGTAAGACGTTTGATGTATGGAACACTCTCCGTTCCCTTCTCAACATGATATTTAAGAAACAAGCTTCTGCTTTCGATGTTTAGGAAAGTTTAGAGAAAGTGTTTCATGATAACAAAACGTCCAACATCATTCAAATTGATAGAGAGATTCTCAGCATCACGATTAGTAACTCATCTATCTTCGAATACTGCAACAAAATTAAGTCTCTTGATGACCGACTTGAACACATGGATGCTAAAGTCCCAGAAATTAATCTAGTTGCATATATGATTAATGGGTTGTCTTCAAATATCGTCATGTTGTCACTAATATACGACATCGAGATCATCCCCTACCATTTTGGGATGTTCGATCCATCTTGATTCTTGAAGAACTTGAAATGCTCCAAGAAGAGCGAAGGGAGGCGTCCCTCACTCCCATAGATCACCCTTTGTCACAATCTGCTCGCACAGTTGAGTCTTCAAATAACACCTCCAACCTCGTGGTGGTCGTAATTCTCGAGGTGGTCATGGTGGTGGTCGTAACAACTATTATGGTGGAAACAATTACCATGGTGGTACTAATTACAATGGTGGTGGCAATTTTTCCATTCAATAGAAACAATGACATCAATGTGGTGGAGGAGGAGGAGCATGGGCATATGGGTGGTTTCTAGTTCATCAGCTTAATAGTGGAGCTCATCAAGCGGGTATATTGCCTAGTCCATCTGCATCACCACTTCAACCTAACAACAATGGGCCCAAACACCAACCTTCGACCTATCATTATCAATTTTTAGCACTCCTCAGCCAAATAGCCCATTTATGAATCAATAGGCCTTTCACAATGCATATCCGACCCAACAACAGATTTAAGAGCCTACCACTCTTCCCCATATGTTCAACACGATGTTATCAAGTCGGTTTCGGATAAAAATTAATTGGTATATGGATACCAGAGCCACATCGCATCTTCACTCAAATGCAGGTGTTATCAAGTCGGTTTCGGATAAAAATAGTAATTTTTCTTCACACGTTTTAGTTGGGGACGGATCATCTATGCCTATAACTAAAATGGGACACACCATTCTGTTGGATTAGTGTCTAAGTCCATAACTATTTTGGTATGTACTTGACCCGATGGTGCATGGTCCTTTTAGGTTGCCTTCACCAAAGCAACTTGATAGGATGATTTATGGAGAGTAAGGATTAAATATGATTTATTAATGTATTATGAGAATAATATATTAAAGGAGAAATCATATTGTTTAATTAATATTAGTCAATAATTAATTGGTAATTAGTTTTGTGACTAAAAGAGATTAATTAAACTTAAGGGACTGGAATTGTAATTATAGGATAATTGCAATTTGGGCCATGGATTGCCTTGTATTAAGGGATGGACGAATTCTAATGGGAAACCCATAAGGAAATCGTCCATGGGCTTATAAAGGAGTCTATGGGTTGCTTAGGGCTTAAGCATCCAAATTAGGGTTTCCTTGTTAGATAACCCTAATAGCCCAACTATATAAAGACCCCTTAAGGCTCAAAAACGTGGCTAAGTTCTTGTAAGGGTTTACACACGTTTTTGGCAGCCTCCATCCTCTCTCCTCTTCATCCTCTTGCTTATGGTGTTTGTGAACCATTAGAGGAGTGACACTTGTGACTCTAAGCCTTCCAAAGTCAATTCAAGGAGGAATTGGGATTGTTATTGCTACATAACAATCAAGGTAACTTAAACCTAATTCATGTTAATATGATTATTGTATGCTAGAATTAGGGTTTATAGTCTTGGATTCAAAGCATGTACAATAGAGAAACCTAGATCCAAGCATTAGGGTTTGTATGAGCACATAGGATGTCTTATGACCAAAACCCATCAGTGGTATCAGAGCCTAGCTTGGTTTCAATTGTATTGATGCATTGTATAACTGAAAATTCGATTTTTTGGATTGTGGAGGCTGGACTCGCCGAGTCCATGGCTGAACTCGCCGAGTCCATGCAGACTCGACGAGTCCATGCCTGACTCGACGAGTCAACTCGTCAGATAATGCTTATCTCGGGATTTCTTGCTGTTTTTGCATATGGATAGTTACCTTATCATGTTAGATCAATATAAATCCGATTTTATGATATATATGACTATATTCTTGATCTAATTAAAGATAATTATCAATTAACAAGATAATTGTTTCCTTATAAGATAATTGATTAATTATTTTGAGTAAATTGATAAATTGTTTTGCAAGAAATCATTAAATAAATCAAATATGGATAATTATGTGATTAAATGTTAATTTAAAATTATTTGTTATTTGATCCTTGTTGTTATGAAAGTTTCATATTTTCCCCTTTAGGTTTTATAGTTTAAATTTGAACCTAAAAGTTTTGAGTTTTGAAATTTAAATAGTTAAAACCCTAATGTTTTGAAAAGGTTTCAAAACTTGCCCTCAAGTTTTGGAATTTAAAAGTTGATTAAAGTTTAATTAGAAATGTTAAATTCTAAAACCCTAGTAATGTTTTGAAAAGTTCAAATCACACCCTTATGGTTTTATTAATTAATTAAGGAGTATAATTAAAAGAGGTTTAATAAATC